TGATGCTTGTGACTGACGACGTATTAGACTGCGATTAACAGAGGACTGATGTGCCTTTCCATTGAGGACAATCTCAGCATTTATTGCGGTGTTTCGAATATTTCCGCCGTATTACATTAAAATTGCCCCATTTATCAGCACATTTATTTTCATTGCAAAGTACTATATAACACCTGATTCTCTGTCATGACGTATCCGTGTGGACAGGCAGGCAAAAGCCGGGTAGTCGCAATAAATTATGGAAGATGCACGTAACAAAAACTCGTAACTGTCGTAATTTTTACTCGTCTGTCACTTGAAACATAGTTACCGTATTTAGAAGTTTTATTATGACTTACGAATAGTCTGCCCCTCTAGTAGCCACGTCCAATACTGGTATATCGTACTCTCACGTGCTCACTCGCTACGCTATAGCCGTTTTTTCACTACGTGCCTGCAAGCAACAGTGACGCGAGCCCGAGTCCGCTCTTCTCGCTTGAATGCATCCAATTTTTATTCTTACATCATTGCTTAATAATGGTTTTTCTAGAATTCGTATTAGCTTTCCATTAGTAGAATACATGCCCATAGACCAGGAGCTCATAGGAAGTTTCACACGCCCAAGAGACTTTTTAATGTTTGTCACTATATCCATAGGTAATTAAAAGATTTCGTTTGAATCTAATTGCACGCTGGAATGTAATTTGCAGAATGAAATTAGCTTTGTTACCACAAGAAATTGCACTGTTGATCTGATTATTGTGTTAAGCTATCTCTCAGAAATAAAAGTCGTGGAAAAATAATGAATAAATTGTATTTCATTTGAGTTCTTCGTAGGTGAAAATTGTCCATAAAATCACGATTCGTAGGAACACATAACTGTCCCAGGGCTTCTCTGTCCGTTTTTTGTACCAGAAAGGCAACCGTACGGGCGCTTCCCAGTAAAGGGTTATGATAATCTTTTTTCATGCCAATCAATAATAGTTTTTCTTCTTAGACTATTACTGAGATATAACTTAATTTTTCTCATTCGCCTCAGATCGCCGCTCTCGAGTTTTTTGCGCGATAAACGCGCTTCTAAGACAGTAATTATGTTCTCGTGTCTGTTAGTTGCTTTATCGGTCGACTGACAAAGCAGGATTTTGCATAGAAGATGTAGTCTCGAGGTTCCTTTTTAATTTCGTCACAGACGAATTTACTTTTCTTCTTTATCAAGCATATGGAAAGATAAAAGAAGCAGTTTCACGGTATATTAGATAATGGCCTTAGTGGAGACATAGTAGCTCCGCACTCATTACGATAACAGCCGGTTGAGTATCGTGTGTGTTTTACTTTTGTTTATGTTATGTGATCGAGTTGCAAAAAGCTAAATATATCCCTTCCATTTTACTTTTTTAAGATAAAAGAGTGTGAATCGAGTTCCTGTATAATCGGATATGTCTGTTAGTTATTTTTAAGTATAGTCAGACAGTGTAAATGCTGATTGCTCTCTAGTTGCAGTTCTGTCAAGGACCATTAAATACGGCAGTTATTGAATAGAAGTCTCGTAACTGTGCCCATTGGGTTAGTGTATTTTGTGTATTGGATGGAAATGTTTCGTAAAAGTTCCTTCTGGCAATGTGTGTCAGCATGTCGGAGTGTTTTTCAGATCAATCACTCCGCTTTCCAATATGCGTTTTGTGCTGTTGGAATATGGAATGATTTTGGTGTATAATTGTTATATAGTGGTAGGCCTACTCGTAGGAAGTGTTACGGAACAAGCTAGGATCCGACTTTTTGCGCTTAATGCTTCTGAGAGCCTGATGTTTAGGACATACGAATTTTGATTAACACTTCGTGTCCCCTTTCTTTTAGTGTTAGTCACTGAATTATAAGGGCCTATTTGTAAAGCTCGCCTTATGTGTGGCCCATTGTGCTCAGTGTTGTGAAATAAATGGCACATATTCAATGAATCCTCCATTCCTTAATACAGTTTCCCACACTGGCTCTCTATTGTGTGCTCTAAAATAGATCGTGTGCTCGTGCCATTTCTTAGATCTCAATCAAGTCGAACTAGAGTACTTATATTTACTCGTCGACTGTGAACTAAGAACTAGCCATAGTTAGTTGCCGATTTAGCGTTGTCGCGCTTTTAATGCTTCTGTAACTTGTACCTTTTTGGTCAGGTGTAACTTAGTTTAATCAAGTCGGAGCTTATCTCCATTACTTATTATCGTTCGATTTCTATGCAACCGAGATACTTATTGTTGGCTTAATCTTTCAAATTTGTGACTAGATCAGTGACCTAACGGAGTTTTTACTTAGAGATAAAATGGAGTTTACTCACTTCTATTGCATAATGCTCTTATGTATGAATGAAAATTTTGGTTTTATCGCCGTGCTATAATTGTTTCGCGTTGATTCTCGCTAGAACGAAAAATTATGTTTTTGATATCTCTCATGAATTTACAGTAATAGTTAAATCATAAGCTAATGTGTTCTATATGGCTACATCTAGGTTGATTGTCAGTTTCGGATATGACTTATTTGGCGTCGAGAGTCTTACCATTCATATGTCGGCGAATGACGCGTTTTATAGTGAGTGGAGCTCGCTGCTTACTGTTAGGCTTCTTAACCACTTAGGATTTGACTCATTTACTTACAGTTTAAATCGGTTTATGAACTTTATATGCTGTTGAAATCGTGTGCTGTTAGGATAATACATTCAGGAAGTGACAACGCGTTTTTTCTGTGGATTTGTGTTTTTTGTGATTTCGCGGTTTCGAAGAATGGCCAGGTGATGGTAAGATGTTTTAGGCGTAGATTTGGCGCGTTCGTGTAACTGTTATAAAGCCACTGGCTGCGCTCTAAGATAAGCGGTCTTGTGCGTCCGGCTCGATGACTTGGAGCCAACCACCCTTACGTGAGGCGCTTTTATAGTACCCAACAGCATGATTTTCGCATTCCACTTCTTCTGGCATTTTGCATACGCTTTTCGCTAGTCTCACGTAAAATAGAGATCTTTGGAACCCCAGCATATTTTAGTGAAATTTTTATAATGCCTGATGACTCAGCTCGTCGCGTGTTTCTGGTTAGTATAATTACGTCTGCGTCTATGGTACGAACATATGCTAATCGGGATGACGCGAGTGCCTGGTGCTCGAAGAAAGGTTGGATGCCCTTCCTTTTATCGGCGCCACTAAAGCGCGCTTCTTAAATTACACTTCATCTATTATCTCCGGCCTGCTTTCAGATTAAGATACGGCTGACGTGCCTCGCCTCGTTGGGACTGCATAACTTTCCGCGGCAGTAAGTAATAGACTCTGTGTCACAATTCGCGCTCGAGTGACTGCGTAACTGATAGGCTAGACTGATATGATTATTCATAATCTAAATGTAAAATCCCTGTCTACGCGTTACGTCGCACCCAAGAGAAGATTGCGAGAACAGTAAGCTGTTCTATGCGCGCATGTTAAATTATAGCGCCGAAGCGATGCGAGCCGTGCTGCAAATGTACGCAAGGGCGGACTAGATGCAGACTAGCTCACGGAGACCCCGAGTAGATAATTACTCCCTGGTAAGAATTATAAACAGATGAGTGCCGGTTTCGAAGACTAGTTAGCTGTCAAAAGTGAGATAGTGCATATGGAGAGCGAAACCGAAGATGAGCGACCCAGCGAAGCGCAAAGAGCATTAGCAGATTTTACGCTGAGACTTGCCCCTGGGCCCCGCCTGGTTAGGGAAGGCAGTGCCACTGGAAGGAAAGGGCACTTTACCGTTGACAATTGATCCAATTTGGAGAGCGAGACGAAGGAGCTGTGATAACGTCAACACATTGCATGTAATATAAAGAGTGCCGGCGCTGTGAGTCGCGCCGGGCCGTTATAGTTTGATGAAGCGGGAGAGGACGCTGAGAAAGAGACGTTCGAGAAGGGAACGGCACAGTGAAGAGAGAAGAGAGGAGACGGAGAGAGCGCAGGGGGGGCTAACGCCGACGGAGCAAGCAGTGGTTTCAGAGGTATAAAGACGGTTGAGTAAGTACGCGCGACTATAAATTCTAACTATTAGTACCTAGCCGCGCGCCTCATTTAATACAGTGAGCGTATCATTAAAATATATTAGTACTATAGCTTCAAATAATACACTTAACTTTATATAGTACCATTGTGTCGTGTGACTACATACTATATATATATAAGATGCACAACTCGCTTGACAGTGAGTACTTACTACACAGGCTTGTCTATTTCCTCGCACTCAACGAGCTTATGCCCTAGCCTGATCCAAGGTCGTGTGACGCACTCATAGTAATAATATAGATAACCTATATTATAGTCTATCCTTATTATTTCTATGGACGCACTCGAGCTTAATGCATTGCTCACTTGTAAGAATTGAAAGTATCGCAGCTTGCCTCGGATAGTATCAAAGGGGCGATTACTGCGGCTTATGACGTGTGATGTAGGCGTCTATAATTGTGCTCCGCACGACCGCATGGCGGGACAGTTGCGGTGTGACTATGTGAGAATACCAGAGCTGTCATTCCGCTTTGCATATTAAATGCAGTTAAAGCTGATTGTCAACGAGATTGTAATTGTAATTTATACACCAACAATTTCATCGTGAAAATCCATGCTAGCGCAACTACATAGGCATCTATATGATGCTTCTCTCTGTCCCTCCTCTATCTTTCCGTTTCTCTCTTTCCGTCTCTCTCTTTCTCTTTCTCTCTCTCGCTTGCTCTTCATCTTTCCGCTATCTTTTCTCTCTTTCACTCTCGTTCTCCTTCTCTCCCTCTAGCACACACACACACACACACACACACACACACACACACACACACACACAACACACACACACACACACACACACACACACACACACACCCACACACACACACACACACACACCACACACACACACACACACACACACACACACATGCACACACACACACACACACACACACACACACACACACAACACACACACACACACACACTCACACACTCACACACCCTATCGTGTATGTCTACCTACCGTCCAAGGCAATTCTCCAACTTGTACGTCCATAATTTCTTGCGTGGGCGCAACCGTAGTTTCCACGCGCCGACCACGGCCACGGCCACTGCCTGGAAGAATCAAACGAGATGTTGTAATTGCGATCGACGGAGAGAGCACGTCAACCATTTTGTAGTTCATACATTCTGTTGTACTATTGTACTACTATTACTACTACTCTACTATGTATAGAAGTTGACGTGATAGTGAGGGGGTGAATCCATTTGTTACGTTAGCCTGCCACAGCAGCGTGTATGCTTACGGGGAAACGTTTACTGATAGAATTTTGCACAGGGGAGAGAGAGTGATCCGCTAGGGGACGGCTATTTTTGTCTCTTTTTTATTTAATTTTTTATTATTTTTGGCTAATTTTGTTTCATTTTAAGAATTAGCGAATAGGGTTAGGTTAGTGTAGGATTATAGTTTAGGGTTAGGCGTTATTGGTTAGGCTTAACGTGATTTCTATTATCCACAACATATTTACTATATTCACTATTCTGCTCCCCTGAGACCTACTACTAATGATCACTAAGATGATCACTGATACAGTCAAAGACATATACATAATTTAAATATCCCTGGTTTTGTAACCGACGATAGTTTACGTAAAAGATTATCATCGAGTGAAGTGATTTCTCGAGTTCGTCGTTGTTCCAGAACTGACAAGTAGCGCCTTGCGTCCGCCATTGGGGTTGCCCGTTCTATAGTTCCTCCCATGTTTTCTACTTATGATATGTTCGAAAATCCGTGCGTCGCTAGCCTACTCCCTCCTCTCTCTCTCTCTCTCTCTCTCTCTCTCTTTCTCTTCCTCATCGTCCTCTCTCTCTTCTCCTCTCTCTCTCTCTCTGCTCTCTCTCTTCTCTCTCTCTCTCTCTTCTCTCTCTCTCTCTCGCTCTCCTCTCCATCCTCGCTTTTCTTTCTCTCTCTCTCTCTCTTTTTCTCTATCTCTCTCTCTCTCTCTATGTTCTCTCTCTCTTCTCTCTTCTCTTTCTGCCTATCTCGTTGGTCTGTCTGACTTGCTTTGTCTCTTGCCCTCTCTTTCCCTCTCTTCTTTTCTCTTGCTGCGCTGATGCGCGCTTTCTCTCTCTCTCTCTCTCTCTCTCTCTCTCTCTCTCTCTCTCTCTCTCCCTAAGAACCGTCTATGTAATATTATTAGATACTATTGTCACAAGTAATATTTGCTGTCGCTACGTCCTTCCTGTCCACACAGGAGGAAGCGGGCGTGACCCATGTGATCATGTGCCATGAAATGTATATTTACGCATTGATACTAATTACAATAATCCCAATATCAGATCAATAATATTATGATAAAAGACATATATAAACGAATAGAATAAAGAATAATAATTTTTTTTATTATAAGAGAAATTATTTATGCGAGAATCATACAACGTACCTTTCATTGCATATGCCACCGTCACCACTAGGAAAAAGATCTGTACTTGACGCAACATCGTCAGATTAGGGAACGCTGGTTTGCACGATGGATCTATTTCAACGAGGCGGCTCGCTTCCTTCTTATAGAAAATACATAGAACAATGACAAACATAAATGATGCGCACACGCACACGCGCGCACCGCACGTACAATCTATATGTCTCTCTCATTCACTCACACACACACAACACCACACACACACACACACACACACCACCACACACACACACACCAACACACAACACACACGCACCACGCACACGCACACGCACAAACGGCACACGCACACGCACACGCACACGCACACGCACACGCACACGCACACGCACACGCACACACCCACCACACACATCACACACACACACACACACACACACACACACACACACACACACACACACACACACACACACACACACCATGTATATATATATATATTTGCCAGCGCACTCGACTACACGCTCATAACACATTCACATTCATACACGCCCACACACGCGCACGCGCGCACATGAGTGCGCGATATCTGCAAATAAGACATAATTTATGAGCCTATTGGTGCTCGTTATATCTATCACCAAAAGTTGTGTGTAGCCTGACTAGAGAACCTAGCTGTCTGGGGAACTCTCGTAAATTACAGTCACTTGCCGTGTAGTATTGTAGTGTGCACAGGCGCTGTGCCTTCTATCTCATCTAATACATAATCTACTCTTACCTTATACCGTCAGTTTGCTGCGCCTCGCTACCTTATATACCTTGAGCCGCGTGAATGTTGATTGTTACACGGCACAGTCCCTTCCAGCGGGTGTTACGATTGAAATAAACGTTTGTTCGCTCTGCTAGCCGACTTATACTATTAATGGGAACCGTTCCACCTCGGTGATACCGCTAGCTCCGGTATAGGCGTAGGCATACGCACTGTTTACTATAACTAGATACCCATGGCTACCCAAGCAGGGCAACCCTGTGCTTATACGCACACTGTAGCACCTTACTCACAAAATTATAGACCTATATAATGCATACATGAACCTACATATTATACTAATCTGGCTGAAAGACGCCACGCATTGCATTCGCCGACAATGAACGCGCCATGACAGCCAGGAACAATGCGATGACGTCAGCAGATCGCCGTGATCGAAACCCACCATGTCATCGCCGCCATGTTTGCGTTAATTGCGCGAAGATACCTGTGATTGGGTGTTCATGGGTTACAAATTCTGTGAGTGGGAAATGTCAACGTGTTCTCTCACGGTGCTTAAAGCGCGCGTGAACGGCGGCCTGCAGACAGGTTTCGCGCTAGCAATCTCATTGCCCGGAGCTGGAAGTCTCGTGAACTATATAGCCATCTGTTCTATCAGAATACGACGCGGATCCGTGCGCCAATAGCTACACACACACACACACACACACACACACACACACACACACACACACACACACACACACACACACACACACACACACACACACACACAC